TGTGGAGGCCCTAGTTATTCCGTCTCAAAATGAGTTAGAAAATCAGCTATTCTATTGCCACACACTGATGAAGTATACAACACTGAGGAATTTCAAATGGAGGATGATCCCACCTCATTTGAAGAAGCCATGAGAAGTGATCATTCATCAAAGTGGCTTGAGGCCATGGAAGATGAAATGAAATCAATGAATGCCAATAAAGTTTGGGACTTGAAAATAATTCCTAAAGGAACCAAAACAGTAGGTTGTAAATGGGTCTACAAAACAAAACTTGACCCTCAAGGGAATATAGAGAGATATAAAGCGTGACTTGTGGCAAAAGGCTTTATGCAAAGAGAAGGCATTGATTACAATGAGACATTTTCTCCAGTCTCATGTAAGGATTCCTTCAAAATCATAATGGCATTAGAGGCACATTACGATGTAGAATTACATCAGATGGATGTAAAGACGACATTTCTCAACGAGGACTTGGAGGAAAATGTTTACATGGCACAATCGAAAGGTTTTGTCATGGAAGGAAAAGAACGAATGGGATGCCATCTAAAGAAATCCATTTATAGATTAAAACAAGCTTCAAGACAGTGGTACTTAAAGTTTGATCAGACAATAAGGAATTTTGGGTTTAAAGAGAATGTAGAGGACAATTGTGTCTATGCAAAGTTTAAGAATCGGAAGTTTATCTTCCTTGTCCTGTATGTGGATGATATCTTACTTGCTAGTAGTGATGCCAGTCTACTACTGGAGACAAAGAAGTTTTTGTCCTCAAAATTTGATATGAAAGATCTTGGTGAAGTCTCGTTCGTTCTAGGGATTGAGATTTACCAAGATAGAAGTAAAGGGGTATTAGGACTGTCATAAAAGGCATACATAGAAAGAATCTTAAAGAAATTCAAGTATGCACAAATATAGTCCCTCACCTGCTCCTATAGTCAAGGGCGACAGGTATGGGATTTTCAATGCCCCAGGAACCAATATGAGATCGATCAAATGAAAGCGGTTCCATATGCTTCAGCTGTCGGAAGCTTGCAATATGCTCAAGTATGTATACGCCCTGACTTGGCATTTGTTACCGAGTTACTTGGTAGATTCCAGGGCAATCCTGGAACAGAACACTAGAAATTAGTAAAGAAAGTCTTACGGTATTTGAAAGGAATGAAAGGCCTCATGATAACATATAGAAGATCTAATTCACTCCATATAGTGGGATATTCAGATTCTGATTATGCGGGAGATGATAGAAAATTCACGTCTGGATATGTATTCACTCTCGCAGGGAGAGCTATTTCATGGAAAAGCTCAAAGCAAACTGTCACTACATCGTCCACAATGTATGCCGAGTTTGTAGCGTGTTATGAGGCAACGGGGCAGGTGAACTGGCTAAAGAAGTTCATACCCGGTTTGAAGGTGGTTGACGACATCTATAGACCACTTAAATTATATTGTGATAATAATCCGGCAGTACAATATGCTCACAACAATAAGTCAAGTGGTACTGCCAAACACATTGACATAAAGTATTATGTTATGAAAGGTAAAGTCCGGGATCATGTTATAAGTCTTGAGCATATAAGTACCGAAAAGATGCTCGCGGATCCGCTTACAAAAGGCTTACCACCCAACGTATTCAGAGAACATGTAGCCGGCATGGGTTTAAGGGAAAGCCTATAATTCCTGGACAAAAGAAGGCTCAAAGTAAAGTGTCTATTTCAGAACAGAGTGGTGTGTTGTAGCTGTTAAATCTATCGACAATTGCTCGTGATAATGAAACATGCTCTACGCGCTAATCTATAATAGAATGAACAAAAGTAAATGATATAAAATTGAAAGATGGTAGGAGATCAAGGGGAGATTGTTAGATTGATCTCAATCCCAAACTAGGCCCAACGGCCCAGTTGGGCCTTTGATCCGCGCCCTGATTGGGGACGCCCAGCCCACTATGGCTGGAGAGCCCCTGTCGCACTGTGCAATAAATAGAGGTGGGGGCCGGCGGCTCAAGTCACGAGGTTCACCTGAGCCGAGCTCCCCACCGAAATCCCTAAACCATAATCCGATCTAGAGGGGCGCAGCCAGTGACGGGAAGCCACCAGTCGCGCCGCCTCTGCTTCTACACCGAAGGGCTGCCATGACGCCAGACTTCACTGCGCCGCCACCGGTCTTCAACGCCGGTCACCACTGCTCATCACCGTACTCTTCCCCGACCGTCGCTGCCCTAGCGCGGACCCTGACTCCATGGCGAACGCGAGCAGATCCTCCTCTGCGGTGTCAGGTTCGACATGTTCCTCCACTCCTCCATCTAATCTCTATGCTACCCATTTACATGAAGTACTCGGCTAGATCTACACTCCTAGTGATCCTATAGTTCAACAAGTCCCGACGTACTCGCTGGTGATGGTGAGGTCTCAGGTGGAGCGGTCTGTCTCCACGGTGAACCCTTCCACAGGGTCATACGCCACAACCAGCGGCGGCCACTCCCCGCTCGCCATCATCCACTGCCACGTCGCAAGCGTCTCCGCGTCCTCCCTGGCCAGCACCTGCATCCCGCAGGCCTCCAACACCGCGTGGTTCGCTCACTGCTGCGCCATGCCGGTGCGGTACGTCGACTCATTCTTTGAAGGCGGCTCCGTCATTGTCGCGCCGCTCGCTAGCGACGCGCCATCTCGCTAGAGCACATTGCCGAGTCCGGGCTCGGGCTGAAGGGCAACAGCCTCCGCCTCTTCTTCTTTGACACCACCAGCGCACCGGCAGGCTTACATTTCCGATTCTTCAGCTCCTCAAGCGTCAACCTCCTGGATCTTAAAGACATCCACGATCTTCGTCTGCACCAGCGGGAACTCTACGGGACATAAAAAATTGCCGATGGATGATTGATTGAGCTAGAAGCAATTTCTCAAGCTCAAAGCAAAGAAAGAATACACACGTTTAGGCTTCTTGCCGGCGACGATGGAAGCAGAGGCGGCGGATTCGGATTTGGAGGCCGGGGCGCGGCAGGACAGGCAGTACCAGTCGCCAGCGAGAACGCGCGGGATTTGATGGTCAGCGCGCGCCTCCACGTTACCTCCTCAACTTCCGCTTTTTCTGCATGAACTTCAAAATTGAGCAAAACACCTCCTTTAGGTTTTGAAACCGTTCATATTACTTCCCTGACCCTCTTATAAGCAGTTTTGAACACGGTTTTGTCCTTTTCTTTTTTTATTTATTTTGGCTATTTTTTGAAAATCATAGTAAATCATATAAAAAACATAAAATAGAAAATCTAATTTTGTTGGACTCCACGTGAGTAGATCTACATAGTGAACATATAATATGGTTTGATTTAGTACAAAGTTTTTAGTTGTACATTTAAATCTATGCTTTTCTGTAATTAATTTGAATAATTCATAGCTGCAGTTTCTATGGTCCAATTGTGATAAATTTTTTATAGTGGGCTAATTATTGTATGATTGAATTGTAGTAAATTTTCATACTCATTGGATCATGTATATCTTAGTTATATATTTATTTATATTTGACAAGTATAAACCTAAATAAAATCTATAACTAAGTTATACATGATTCAATGAGTATGAAATTTTACTATAGTTTAAGCATACAATAATTAACCCATCATAAAAATTTCACCATAATTGAACCATAGAAACTGCAGCTATGAATTATTCCATATAATTACAGAAAAGCATAGATCTAAAGTTATAGCAAAAATTTTGTAATAAAGCATACCATATTATATGTTCACTGTGTAGATCTACTCATGTGAAGTCCAACAAGATTGGATTTTTTATTTTATGATTTTTCTGTGATTTACTATGATTTTTCAAAGATTCAGCCGAAATAAATAAAAAAGAAAAAGACAAAACCGCCTTCAAACCCGCTTATAACTGGGTCAGGGAGGTAAGATGAACGGTTTTAAAAGTTGAGGGAGATGTTTTGTCCGGTTTTGGAGTTCAGGAAGGAAAAACGGACTTTCGCGAAAGTTGAGGGAAGTAATGTGGACTTTTTCCATATAAATTTTGGTGGCCCGGTCTGGCCCAACCCGGACCCGGGTGGGCGTCGCGACAGATGAAGGTGTGGATGGGCCTTTGTGGTGCGACTGCAGTCGGCCATTTACTCCTGCGCTAAATGGGCCGGACAAGAGATTTGATGGACATTTTCACAGGAAATGTCCTCTCAAGGAAAAAAAAAAAAAAAAAAAAAGTACAGTACGTACCTGTTAATAGGTTTCTGTGGAAAAAAGAGGGATTACTGGACATTTGCTGATTGTGCTCATTCTAGTGTCGCGTGTTATGACATTGTGCAGCCTGGACTGAGTGAGATCCGACTTGTCCTTTCATTCAATTCCACACATAGTTTTATCTCTACTACTCATGCCACCAAATGTTCACAAGTTCATAGCCATTGTTGGGTGCACTAAAAACCTTGATCACTACGTAGTAAGACCTATGCATCACAAAACTTGTTCGCTTGAACTTATCATAGTGTTTTTCTCTCATAAAAAAACAGTATCAGCCATGCTTAACAGGATTGCGGCTTATAGTTTGGTGTCTCTAAAGCTTTTCACAGTTAAATCTGAATTCAGTTGTTAGCGTGCATCCAGGCTGTCTGACTGTCACTCTGGTGAGTGATAGAGCAACAACACTTTGGTGAAACAATACAGTAGTCTTCAGGGTACACAACTAATTGATTTGAGTGTGCAAGCCAACTTGCCAAGGGTCATTATTCTTGCTCTGCAAATTATCTTTGCGTTTCTCTTTACCTCTAGCATTAGAATCACTAAGACGATATCAGAAGACAATGGTAAAACAGAGGGGATAAATATTAGGAAGTTCAGGAGTACTTATTAACCTCTAATTATATAGCTAAAAAAAACTGAGGCTGCGGCAGATTTTGCACATGGCATCATAATCTCAGAGGTATATCGTTTCTCCTATATATTTGTACCTCCTATTTTCAAGCTGTTTATACATATAGCTGGAAATTCCATATATAACCATGGTTGCTAGCTAGGTGACAGGTGTGGTGATGATTCTGCCGGAGCCTCGGCAGGTTGTGCAGGATCGGGTGGAGGAGCACTTGTTGCAGTAGGTCCACTTGGTGGGCAGCCTGCAATGCATGGCAATCGCATGCATCATGGTCATGTTCTTGCTTGGTGACTGGTGAGGACGAATACAGCATATCGATATAGATATGCAACTAGCTAGAATTGAAACTGAAAGCAAGGAAGGAATTAAATAATAATTGTAATAATACCCCGCGGTGTATCTGGTGGCCATGTTCTTGGCGGCCTTGCGCGCCTTGGTGGCCGTCTCCGTGGAGAGCTGCTTGAAGACAAAGCCCTCTCCTTTGCAGCGGCCGCAGAGCCCAGTCCCGCCGCAGTCCGGGCACTCCTCTCCCTCTACCTGTTCTTGTTCCTCCTGCCGCTGCTGCTGTGAGGCGGCGGATGAGGAGGAGGAGCGGAGCAGGAGGCTGGCGGCACCTACTGTCCCGGCGGCGGCGAGGAGTAGCGCCGCAGCAGCTTGCGGGTCGGGGAGGGCAGCTGGAGGCGGCAGGTGCCCTCGACCTCGACCTCGACTTCTTGGGCTGCTGGCAGTGGAAGAAGCAGTGGCAACACGATGAAGAAGATATGCCGCGGGGGGAGTGGGGCGGCTGCTAGGCTGTATCTGGAGGGGGCATGGCGACGGCGGGCAGCAGCACGAGGAGATGGAGGAGATGCGAGGCGGGTGATGGGTGCTTGAGCTAGCCGCCGCAGGCGAGGACGGCAGTGCCATCGTGTCACGGCCACCGAACCGGCACCGCGACGGACGGCAGCAGGTTTTTGGATAAGGAAAGGAAAGGCCGCTGCGCCTGCCCGCGGGTTTATTTGCAGTGTTGCTCTGCTCTGCTCTTGGGCGATCGCTTCCCTGAACTAGTGCACCGTCTGCGCCACTCCTGACAAGTGAAAGGAGATACTCCCTCCCTCCAATAAAGTAAATATATTTCCATATAAACTTATATAAAGATATAAATATTGCTAATATTTTTTACAAATCTAGTTAAACTTAAGAAAATTTACCAGCACAAACCCTATAGCAACATTGTTTTCCCCATAATGAAATACTCTCTCCACCCCTAAATATTTATCGGTTTTTTGTTTTCATGCCCTAAGTTTGACTAGATTTACGTGCAACATTTATATCTCTAAATAAATTTATTATAAAAATAGATTAAACGATCTATCTAATGATATTAACTTTGTACCATAAATATTAATATTCTTTTATATATATTTAGTCAAAGTTATTTATCGGGTAGAAAAACGATAGTTATTTAGGAATGAAGAGAGTAGTCTTTGCTCGCGTCAAGCATATCAAGGTAAGCCTACTACGGGCATCGATTTCGTACCAACAAAAATGGTGATCCTTAAGGAAAAGAATTGCTAAGAAAATGGCGCTTTAGAATTTAGACCAAGCCCTTATAATGGTTTATAAGTTCTGTTTACAAGAGCAACTAAAATCATGATGCGAATGTTCTATCATTCCTTCATTCTCTTTGTCTTAGGTAAGCACATATCATCATACGATAAAACCTTTCCAGAAAATTTTGAAATGCTACGGATACGACAAGATTATTACCCCAATAAGTAGCTTAGCTTATTGGCCAGCTGTAGTATACCAGGCAAGGAAACCGCTACAATTGCAACTATTATATAAAAAAAGCGATACATATCCACTGTTATAGAGGGCTTCATTTCCAAAGTCACCCCTTTTCTCTAACGAAAAAGAGAGATATTTTTCTTATAACATAAACAACACATGGCAAGACTAATGCTTCTCTACAAGACAATTGCTGGCAACTGAAATATCATGGCATTTACAAAATTCTAAACTCAAGTGAATTTTATAACAAGGTACCAGAATCCAAAACCTTGATCTAGATAGGTCTAGGGTCGCAATATTCTGTTGCTTTCATACCAGATAGGATAATCAGATTCAGGTATAGACCTATTGACCTGAACAAAGAACAATGGCGGCATCCCTTCAAATGCAGTAATGGGCCTAGAACAGGATAAAATGACCCAAATGCAACTGGTCTTGGACCTCAATTGATAGTCATAATGTATTAAAAGGCCATGAGCCAGGTCCGCCACATCATTCGATTTCTGTAAGATATAAAACTAACAGCAGCCCTCTCCAAGCACCTATGATCTGACCTCATACTTTCCAGCTTGAGTTTGGGCTCTGAAACCTTTGTATGGAGCGTTCGGTGTGTTTTTCACATCCAGCTTATCAATTTGAAGACCAGACAGGGCAACTCCCATAATCTTGAATTTCACCTGAAATGTTGGCAATGTATGCAACTGCGCGAGTCCTTCCTCCAGACGTAAATTTCCAGAGAGCGCTGGTGCTTTATCTTTTGGTATCTGCCCAATTGTCCAAAGACAGGTCTGCATAAGAAGACTAGTGTCAGAGAAGCATATCAAGGTGAAGGTGCATGCAGAGGAAAAAAAATTCTAGCTTCTAGACCTTTTCTGGAAGTAGCTACTATAGACCCCTTACCTTGAACTATGACCATGGAAAAAAATTAGTTATGATGGAATTACTATGGAACTTATGGTAGACAGTACACTAACCTTGTCAGCAAGGATGTCAACTGTGCCATAGTTTGCAGTCAAATCAGCCGAAACAATAAGAAGGGGCAACTGAAACTGCACTGTTATTGAATCAATAGGTTTCCCAGGATCATTTCGAATCCCAACCATCACACTAACACGGCAATTCCCAGAATCTGATGTTAATTGAGGTTTCACATAAATTGGTGTCTTCTTCAATTTCTTAACCCTGCTCATTCGAACAAATGATGAGCATATACTGAGTGTACAGAAGAAAAACTAGCATGCAAATGTGTACCTGTAACTCATGAGCTTGAACTGCCCATGGGGAGGAACAAATGATAGAACCTGACTTGATTCCCATGGCCTGAATCGGACACAGGGGTGGAAAGTAACATCATTGATAATTGTAGGGTTGGCAAATGACATGGTCAACTCTGGCACACCTGGGAGGCTGCAGTTTACTTGAACTTCACCATATGCTTCACATTTCACTAGACCCCCCTCTCTGCACACCAAACAGCAAAGCAGCCTCAGTAACATAAGAAAAAAAATTAAATAAAACATAAGTAGGACAGTTTCATGTGCTATCTTGCTATACCACTACTTAATAGTATGAATCTTCACTCTTATGATGCTCTTTTTTCTATATTTTTGTAGCACTTGCTAAAGTGCAGGGCATTCATAAATGGAGGTATAAAAAAATAGATTGGAGCTCAATATCCAGAACTACTACGAAAATGCTGAAAAATGAGTAGCTTACAGAAATATTTGACCAATTACTGTGACTAAGGTCCTAAAAACCATATTGGCAGAATTAATAGATCCCATTTATAGGACATTAAAAAGGAAAAAAAAAACTGGAATACCTGTTTACACATGCATCAAGTTCCTCAACTATGTTAACATAGACTTCATTGCTTGCATCCTTGACTATTGTTGTTCGCCAAGGTACAAAAGAAGCAGCTGCATCTGGAAGTTTGCTGCCAAGTGTAGAACTCTTACCAGTAACAACATTCAACATTTTGTTCACAATATTAGGTGGGGCAATCATCTCTTTCAAGATGTTTGGCTCAGTCGTGAGTGGAAAACCATTATCCATCATCTCATCTAAAATCTGCATTCGTTAAGCACTATAGATTTAGAGAAATTTCAGAACAAGTGCACTGGCAAGTGGTAACCATGGCTTAACAAGCAGAAAAACTTGATTGCAGCATGCAGATTAGGAAATGTATAACAAACTCAACAAATTCAACAGTAGGTCAATGGCATGCCTTGATCTTCTAAGTTTATCTCAAAATTTAGAAGAATTTTATTAAAAGATATAAGTTGGATTTTCTTTGCAAATTTCGATACTTCATGAGCTTTGTACCTCTGTATATGCAACTCAATATTTAACCCCATTATAGATAATAGTTAGATACGATTTCTTAATTTCCAAAGCTTCAATATATCAAAGGACAATTGAGTTGAACATTTGCTAAATAAATAAGACAAAATTATTTCTTAATGTCATTTATGTAAAAACAGATCATCCTGTGCCATCCTAATACTTGCGATACTTATTCAGAAGAATATAACAGTCAGATAGCAAAATAATAGAATAGGCAACTGCTGTGGTGTAGCAGAGACTAAGAAATACACCTGATATACAATTACAAAGTTGTCCTTGATTATATCTTCATTCAGATCGCCAAGATAATCTGTCAAGACATCGGCCACACGAGAGAGAAACTGAAAAATGCAAAACACTTGAGCACATCCAGGAAATACAGCCAAAAAGTATCATTTATGGTCAATCACTCTATCAGTTATTATAGATAGATAAATTTGGAAGGCTACTGCAAGATAAACATTTGAGGATAAGACAGAACTATGGGTCTTAATTAAAAAGTTGCATTTTCATGAAATTTTGTAATAGCTTACTTAACTTTTCTAAAATTCAAGAGTACTTCAACATCTGAATTTTTCTGAGGAACACTTGGGAAACTTTTCAGACACAAGGGCCAAGTAACACTGTGAGAGGCCAAAAGAGACCTGTGGATTAATGAGGTTACTTCGAAATATTCATTGTTCCTTTCTGCAGCCAAAAATATGCAGAATTCGCTCTTCATGTTTTCTGGGTTCAATATGGATTTCAACACATTTTCACTAATATTCTACAGCAAAGAACTAATTTGATGGTTCCATTGTTTCTTTTTTTTTTTGCCAAACAGACACTATAGTTGACAATGTATCTGGCTTTACAGATTTGAGCAAGTGATGATATAGACTTCTCGATGTCAGTACTATATATCCTTTTATAGCAAGTTGTAGAAATACAAATTCCTTTTGTACATAACAAATTATGTGAATCAGTGTGTAAGAGGCTCTACTTTGGTTGCCATTATGTCTTTCAGACTGATTATGCGTGAGTTAATAGCTACACCACTGTACAAAGCACCCACCATGCTCCATACCAAATAACAAGCAATATTTACCCTCAATGCAACAGATGTGTTGCATTTTTGTCATGTCCTGCTACAGCCTTACATGACATTAAGAAACAGGTAACGGCTAAGTGAAAAGAAAAAGGTTGCAAAGAGATGAAGCCCACACCTCGACAGCCATCAGTGGGGCCATCTCCACTTGGGTGCACGCCAAGAACGTTACACCATCGCGATAGATTTGAAACAAGTAATGCGTTGGTGACACCACAACCTGCAAGACCTTCCAAAGCCCAACAAACCTGATAAGTAAATATCTGGTGGAATTGAACAGCTAAGATAAATAGAATGAAAACAGTGCCACAATTAGGGATGCAATTTGTTTGGTTGGCTTGACTCATTTATTTGTCATAGTTCATATGATCTACCACTCTATACACAAAATGAGTACATCTATATATCAGGTGGATAGATGAGTGGAGTAGGTTTTGGTCGATCCGCTTGCATCTCTAGCCACAATAGCTCGAAATTGGTAGGCTGTAACATGAGCAACGAAACAATGTATTGACTGAAGCTTAGAACTAGCTCGAGAGCTCCCAAAATTCAGCCAGCCAAGCCTAGGACTAGCTCGAGAAACACGAAGTAGGGTTCGAGTATGTAACAGTAATAAGCAAAGGTAGGGAAAAGGCTGAAATTTGCAAGAGCAGGAGTTTTTACTTTGGAAGGGTCGCCGGCGGCGTGGGCGGCGACGTAGTCCCAGAACCAGGCGCAGATGGCGCGGTCCACCCGGTGCGCCGCCATCTGCTTCTCCACCATCACCTCCCTGCCAAAAACTCATCCCGGATCGCATCAAGCTCAGCGCCGGATCCAACGAGAGGACCCAGGAATCAAAGCGATACTAGCAGTCAGAGAAATTGGGAGTCTGTAGAACCAAGATTACCCGGAATCGGAGAGGAGGAAGATGCACTGCAGCATTTTTGCCGCCCTTCACCGTTGGACGAGGTGGCGGGCGGACCGGGGTAGACAACGACGGGCAAACGAGGCAAGGCAGAAGTGAACCGTGAACGAACGGGGAAGGGCAGGGGCGGACACAGTAAGGTACTGTCACGGAAATCAAAATAGGCGCAACCGTAATATAAATGGCCGTCTCCGTATATAATATATATATATATATATATATATATATATATATATATATTACTAAGAGAAGTATAACATAAATCTAAGTATCTCTTTTGAAGACTTATTTATAGAAATGATTTATTGTTAAAAACGACCAAAAATAGATATTAAATTTTTTGTCAGTAGCGTTATCTAAAAGACGAATGTATTTTGTATTTTAGATCAAGGTTGTTGAGACAGTTTTAGACCTTTCTTTCTTCTTCTTCCTTCCTTTCTTTCTTTTTTTTTTTTTTTTTTTTACATTATTCATTCTTTCCTTTTCTTTTGATTTGATTTTGAAAGCAGCAAGGCCTTGTTCGTTTGCCCAAGATTTGCATAATTGCTTAAGTTTATTCAACACCAATCCACTGTTTGAAAGAAATGAGATGATGTCGGCCAAAATGTAGCGAAGACAGAAAATTGAGGAATTTCTAATTATTTGCTATTCTTTGGTGGCTACCTCTCTCATTGTCGGTTTTATAGTGCCAACTACAAATTTATCTTAAAAAATAGTAATCCAGTTAATATTTTATTATTTTCACTGACGTGCTATCTCAGCGACACTTACGCCTCCGTCTTTCTCTGTGTGCCCAACGCACCGCCGAACGGCACCCCTTGGCAGCTTCCTTCTTCCTCCCGAACTCCACCTTAAGTGCGGGCCAGGCATATTCAGGCACCACCGCTTATACTTAAGGGAGGGGCTCGGCTTTTTCATTACGATAATTTTATTATCTAGTTGTGTTTTGTTTATATTATCTAAAAGATATTAATAGATATATATAACTCCACCTTCCTCTTATATAAATAAAAATATTAAGATACTACTATTTTTGGTGTGTGTGGTGAGGCTGCAGGGGGCTCTGGCTCCGCCAGTGCTTGTATCCATGGATGGCCGACTGCAGCTGCACCCTACGCCCGTGCAGCATAAGGACGTCCAGGACCGGGCCACGGCCGCCGTGCTGATGACGCTCTCGAGGGTGAGGTTGGCTGCGGCGACGAAGGCCGCGGCATCGCCGAGCTGGACGCGGACGTACGCGAAGGAGCCGCCGGCCACGGGGATCTCGACGGCAAACTCGGTGTAGCAGATGACGGAGAGCACGGTGGAGAGGCCCGAGGCCACGAAGATCTCGACGGCACGGGACGGACGGAGCCGCGAGCTCAGCACCCCAGGCTGCCGTCTCGCCCAGCACCCGCTGGTACGCGCCCCAGCTCGCGACCGATGGCTCCGGGAAGAAGTCGTCGTGGCCTTGCCTGCGCGGCTGCGCCCTCGTGATACTCCGGCGTGGACATCTCCACGGGCGCCATGGCCGCAGCTTGAGGCCTACAGTGTAGGCAGAGCGAGCGCGCCGGAACTCCATCGCCGGAGCTGTGGCCGCAGCGGCGGACGACGAGCAGCTACGGCCAGCCTCACCGCCGTCCAGGTACCTCACCACCTCCCGAATCATGGGCTGCGTCACCGGCGCTGGGTGAGAACTCCATGGACGCCACCATCTTCTTCGATTTCGGCCAGCTCCTGTGCAGCGCCGTCAATTCTTCTTCGATTCCGGCCGGCTCATGTGGAGCGTCGTCGATTCGCTCATCCTCCGTGTGTTGCCTGGACATAGCCGCCGCCTGCGCCAGCTCCGGTTGCCGGCAAGGCCGTCCTGGCCCCTCCCCACGCGCTGCTAGGGGCCGCCGCCGCCGGGCCGCTTGGTTTGAGCCGCCGGCGCACGAGGCCAGCGGACCTCCGGGCACCGCAGGGCCAACTACGGCCACTAGCCGGTGCGCGCAGGCCCCGGGTTGGACGCGGAGCCCCTCGCCCGCCGATGTAGGACGCCGTCGCCGCTGGTGCCGTCGCCATGGCGGCCGCCACGCACGTGGCCAAGGCGGCACAAGCCAGCTCAGGTCGTGCTGCGAGCGCCCAGGGACGCGCCCGCCCACCAGTATGCTCCCTCATCCCTTACTCGCCGCCGAAGGAGACCACACCGGTCGGAATCGGCGAGCCACCGCATCGTCTCAACGAAGAAGATGAACAGTACACAGGAAAGGGGCTTGAAGAAGATGCTGACAGCTGGGCCCCACTAGCACTTAACAGCAGAGAGAGGGTGCTGACGGGCAGCTGCTGGCGCTGTTGAAGCTAGGCAAACGGAGACGTTAAGTTCCACGCGCTGAATGCTGAAGTATCACGCCACGCCAGCGAAAATAGCAAAATTTTACTGTTTGCTTGCATATTTCCGTTTATATGTGCTGAGATGGTGTATTTCTTTCTTTCGCCTTTTTGTCCTGACGGCAGGATAGGCTGGTGTAATTGTTTCTTTTGCCCTGTTCCTTGTGTTTATATGCATATTCACTTTTTGCCCTGACTCAGCAATCAGCATGCACTGTACCATGAACAGCTTATGCAAGCAAAAACAGAAAACAGGTGGTAGTGTGTGGCCCAATCTTGTACCTGCCCTTTGGTCCCAACTGTGAACAATATTCAGTCGACGCAATATTCATCGTTGTTGTTGTTTTAAGTTCCACTTTTGCAGTGCATTGGTCTCGTATCAGTTTCGTATAACTTAAATTTGAAGGAGAATAAAAACTTTGATAAATTGGAGAACAAAAACTTTGATAAATTGGATCCCAATTCATCAGTTATTACATTGGGTGGTAATGTATAGCCACAAATGAATTAGTCCTTGTACACCAATTTTCTGACAGAATAAACAAAGCAAACATCGTCAGGACCTCAGCATCATATAAGCTGGCATTCATTCATCGCCTCAGAAGTTGTACAGCATGAGTCCAGTCCAGTGCACGAGGTTAAAGTGAGTCTAGTCACACGTTTGCGTTGTAGTAGCTATGTGATGATTGATGAAGCTTCTATCCAACTGCAAATATCTGGAGCAGTAAAGATATCATCACAGCAATGGTTGAGTAACACTCACACCTAAGCAGCTGGCTTCATGTTCAAAACATCTTCTGCATGGACAAAAGGAATTTAATTGCAAGCCACAAGAAAATTGATGCAAAAAGACAGTAGTGACCATATGGAATCAGATATTGATGTCTGGAACGTGTTTCTTCGTGTTCAAAGTTTGGAAGGTGAAAGCCAAAAAGGCGAAAAATATGGCACCAGTTACCTTTTGGGTGTCAGCATACTCCTCTCAAGTTCTTGTAGTCCTCATAACTAAGAAATTTATCCTTAATTTTGAGCCAGTCAGCTGGTTTCGGCTGGAAGATTGCTATATATCCTTCCCTGTCAGCCTAAATGAAGGAAAAAAATGAATAAAGATGTGTGCTGCCCAGTATTTGGTAAAGAAAACAAACATAGAATTGAAAAGGCAGCAAAAGTCTCGAATTAATATCCTATCTTAAACAAAAAGCCTAGAGCACAACTAGAACAGAAAAGGAGATTATATAGTAAGCACACAAAGAGTCAAAGAAATAGAGGAAATTTGCCAGACAACAGGATGTACTCACAGCGGTATTAAGAAGATCTGGTTGTTTGATCAATCTTTCATTGATCTCCAAAAGGGAACCTTTCACGCAGCATCTGTAAAACTTTAGCATAAGCAACACTGCAGTGCAGAAAACAATAATGTCTCAGACATACTTCTGTGATCTTTAAGATCAAGGGGACCAACCTCACAATAAAAGATTTATCATTTACACAAACTTTGCACAATGCTGAATTTTCTTGCAAGTGTTGTGCATTCTGCAATGTAAAATGAACATTATTTCATGCTGCCGTTTATTTAAATTAAAAAAAAGAAAAAAAAACATTTAAGCAGTCTAGTTACCCTTTTGCGTTTTCCTGTGACTTTCATCTCACTGCGATCTGACTTGCCGACATTGAAGTCAACAGCGGTTATTACTCCTTCCTCTTTAAACACAACATGGGTTGGAGCTAAACCAACCACACACAATCTAAAGTTTTTCAACAAAACCATGAGAATATAGATATTAAGGCTCATTAGAAATCTCAATGTGCATTACTCACAAAACAGGAAGGCATTGATTGGCACTTGTCAACTAGAGTTATTGTATAGAAAATAAATACCTAACACAAGAACAGATCATTTATTTGCAGATCAAACAGTACCATGATTATGTTATGAAGCACATATTCAGATTTCTTAGTTATCCAGCACTTAGAAATAATTCCCTTTGAAGAGACACCATAGTGAACTATTGCCAGCCTTAGATGCACATTGTGAAAATGCAAATTTCACCTAAAGCCTCGAAAACCTGATGTTGACTTTTCAGAATTGAAAACCTACCCGTTTGGATGGCGATACACATACTGATCATACCCTGGATTCAGAAAATCTGCCCAATAAAGCAGTAGAGTGAAATTAGAGTATTGAGGCAGACGTCTAGAAACCAGTAGAAACATTTTCTTCCCCTGGCTCAACATAACAGCTAAACTTGTCAAACATTCTAGGATGTTAACTCACAAATGCTAGAGAACATCCCCTGGCTACACAGTGCAGACACAGTAGGCTGAAAATAAAATTTACAGCAAAGGAATCGAGGATCTTTTATATCCTACTTGGAAGTTTGGAATGGGTCAATGGGCCAGAAAAAAATAAACAAGTTGGATGTTGATACTGATATTCCCACAGTGATCGATTAAACAAATGTACACCCAACAAATCAAGTGTGCTTAATTCATTTTACAATTCCTTAACATTGAGGTGGTTCCAATTACAAAAATGAAACAACAATTATCAATCAAGAATACACTAAAAAATGACATGGGCACCGAAGTATCTAGCAGGGCGGAATATACACCGCATTAATTTTCCTATTCAATCATACGTGAGATTGCTAAACACTTCACTCAGAAGTCAGAAGACAATACTGTAATGAAATAAGCTCCTTGTCCTTGAGATCCCTAAGCTTCCATAGCAGCCTTACGAATTTCACTGTCTCTAAGAGCAAGCGTACCTCGAAGTCCCAAGAAAAGCTCAAACCTTCTACTCTAATCAGGTACGTATGAAAAAAGCCCAAGCCATTTTTACCTGCGATGAAGTAGCGCGCGAAGTTGGCCTCGACGGCGGATGGGGGAGACGCCGGGAGGTCGGCGGCGTCGGGGGCGACGAGGGCCCGGGTCTCGTCGTCGAGGGCGGCTTCCCGCAGGGAGGAGGGTTTGTGGAGTGGCGGCGCCTCCATGGATACAGCTTCCTCCGCCATCAGTGGGGCCCTCGGTCCTGGCCGGCGACTGTCGATGCGGTGCAGAAGCAGAAGCTCCTCTTCTCGATCGTTGGCGGCGGCGGGACGACGGGACGAGTCGGGACTGGAGAGCGAGAGAGGGATGGGAGCAGCTGGGCCGTTACGGCGGTGACGAGTGCAATTGAGGCGGGCGGGCATCGAGGAAGCTGGAAGCGTGGGCTTGGGCTGCCGTTACGGCCCAAGTGATGACTGCCACGAGGCTTGGGCAGATGGATTCAGCGAGGAGAACCGGCACGGAAGTCCATGCTACTTGTTTGACTTGTCATCTCAATATATATATATATATATATATATATAAAAGATAAATATCAATATTATTTCTGTTATTTTTATTTATTTAAAAACCAAATGTTGTATACCCATTGATAGTGTCCCGTGACGAGACGACACATCTGTTATTACCATCTAAAAAACATATGCTCTCGCCAATCCCGTGCGTGGACCCAGAACTCTACGGAGTCTCATAGGCGTGCATCGTGATTCGTGAGCGCCTGCGGATTGCTGCTCGCAATTTCGCGGGCAGGCACGCCGTGCGCGTCAGCGGGCAGAAGACGGCGACCAGATGCGAGGCGCGCCAACTGCCGGCGGCGGCAGGCGTGGAGGCACCACGATTCGACGAAACGGAAGCTCCATCCTCCATTGCTCACAGCAGGCAGGAAAGCAATCTGGTACTCACGCCACATGCACGAAAAACAATCACCCTGTTCACTCATGCTTGAAATTTGACTTATGCAGAAATGTTTATGCTGAAATGTTATGAAAAGAAAATACTATTTTATAACTGAAAAGTAGTTCGGAATAAACTCAAACGAACAGGGTTAATGGCTCTGTTTGCTTAAACTTATCAGTCGTACCGTTTCAGCTAAATAACAGTGTTTTTCTCTCACAACAAATTAGCATCAAAATCAGTTATTTTTCCAGTCAGCCAAACAGGATCAATAGCATTGAATTCATATTTATTATTACTTTTGCAATTTCTCGTGGTTTAGGACATAGCTACTCGGGAAGTCTGAACTCCAACGTGTTCGGCTGGCTTGTTTTTCCTCTCACGGAATCACTGCAACGCACCGCCATAAGCCTTTCTCATCAACAATCAAATAGTATTTTTCGCCCCCGATCCGCCCCTCATTGCTGCAACCACCACCACATAAGCCTCCATCATCGATCAACGCTCCCGATCCGTCGACAGGTACGTTTTACAGTTTTTGTTCAGGTCTTGCAACCTCATCGTCTACCTGGCAATACTAAAGTCCTGACCCATACTCACGCGTCCATATCCAATACGAATCATCCTTCATTTGAAACTTATCCATCTGCGTCCTATCCAATTCTGATACTAGATCCACGTGTCCACGTCCAATACAATTTTTATTATTTTCTACAAATCCACCACCGTAGAATGT